TTTTTATAATCCTTTGGTAGGAAATTGTATTTATTTTTTGTCAAAATTCAAAGATATATATTTTTGTAATTTGTAATGTAATCTAACTCAAGACCGGCCTAGTCTATCTCCTGTTTATTTGACATTGTTAATAACTCTCGTTTTATCCCTATTAGTTACTAAAATGCATTATTTAATTTTCTGAAGGGATTAAGGTATGCAAAACCATTAATATAAATTTATTTACAGTTTGAAAATTGTTATAACAGCTTCGTTTAACCTGAACATTTTCGTAGCGATAAAATTTCCTACGACAATTTAATTTCGTTAGTATAATAAACAACTTCCATGTTATGCCTAAGATTAGTTTTAATATACCGATTGAAAACGGATACCCAAAGTAAAAGCTTTGATTATACCCGATAAAGGGAAATGGTCAATACACCGCTCGGAGAAGAAATATTTTAATGTAGTTTCAGGGACAGACATAGCCCGGGACGGTAAAGGAGTCAATTTCATGCGCCTTGGCTTCCCAAACGAGATATGAAAAGGTTTTCTCCCTTGCTACAATACTTCATATGTCTACGGGGCTTCGAAATATTGCTTGGTTGTTTTTGGAATATGATTGTTTAAATATAGTGTTTACAAAATAAAACCTCTCCGAACTCATGCACACCCGAATCGTAGACTCAATACAATTTTTCATTTGCCAATTTTCTTTCATTGTTTAGTATGAATTTACACATCACAATTTTGTTGATTACCGCTAGCAAATTTAAGGTGAGTAATCTAAAAGGTTAAAAGGTTTAATTTAAATTTAAACTAATTACAAATAATTGTTATATTATAACGTTTCAGTAACAATTAAAATTCTTACAGCCGTATAAATTTAGATTCATTATTTTACGTACAACGTAAGATTGTATAAATAACAAACTCCATCGCCGCCTCCTATCAAAGGTCCGGTCGAGCGTGCTGATAGCAGCAAGGACAATACACTCAGGATGACGTCATCCGATGCCCCTACAATAGGATGTGACGCCATGTTTACCTCTATAACATTAGATTGTTCGTTCAAATTAAACATTTACATTTTAGGTCTATGCAGTGTTGACTTAAAAAAAAAACTGTCTGAAAAGATTAGTATACAAACATAGTGGGAAAAGATAGCGGTCATCAAACCAAATAAAAATACTCTACTGCATGTTATATATTTTAAATAAATCATTCAATAATCATTTTCTTAATTATTCATTGATTCAAAATATTGAAACACTGAATTTTGTCTTCAGAAGATTTACAAGGATGACTGTTACATCTATAAGTGATTAATCTTAATTGTTCGTAAAAAGGCAACAATTCTATAACAGCCCTGAATTTATAATATTGAAGATTTCGATTAACTCTTTGTATATTTTAAAATATATAGACATTGTGAATGTAGTTTCTGTTTTTTTTTTTACCTATTAGAATTGTGCGATTTCCGTCAGAGAGTGAAATTGAATATTGACAATAAAGCCACCATTAAAATTCATCAACCACGTTTGAACAAGCATATCCTTTTAGATACCAGTAGTGTTATGAATTCTGAAGGCTTTTTCATGTACTAGTGTCCCTGTTGATCGAAATCGAGCAATTGCTAAGTATTACATGCATTATTTTAAAACGAATAACAGTCATAATTTTTAATGACTTTAAAAGATTCGACTCAAAGATTATGGAATACTCAAGAGGTACATAACATATCAATATAATCAACATTTCTTGTAAATATCTTATCATTTTTCAAAAGCTGATCTTGTTATTTAGCGTTTTCTACAAATAGCCTTACTTACGCATTAGGTTGTCCATCATAATAAAAAAACACATTATTTATATTTCTTCTCCTTGGTGGTGTTCTATGACATTCCTATGTTTCTATTGTTTCCAAATCGGCTCGTTCAATTATTACTAAGAAAATGCAGCACAGTGTCAATTCAGTTTTAGTTTTAGTTTTAGTTTTAGTATATCAATTTATCCAGGCTCTCTCGTTCTTTCCATTGTAATATTTATTATTAGGCTGCGAAGGCCCGTGGATGGAACATTTAATGAAAATTTAACCCGTGGGTTAGGTTACGTTAGGTTGGGTTAGGTTAGGTTAGGTTATGTTATGTTAGGCTAGGTTAGGTTAGGTAAGGTTAGGTTAGAGTAGAGAGTAAATGTCTCTTCTGGAACTTGATTTTTGGAAAAACACTGTCTCTTCTGGAACCGAGCTTTTTGTTTCAAAAGGCGAGTGCATTTCCGCTAACAAGGCTTGAGTAGTGTAGCGTCGCGGTCAGCTGGTGTCTAGTAGCCTCTTCATTTCTATTTCGATAAATAATGGAGTAAATCCAATTATATTTTCCCAATTGCATAAGTGAAAAATCAAATGAGAGACCACTTTTAAAATTTAAACCATCGATCGCAGGTATATGAAACAATCTATTTTTTCATCAACATGAACTAGAGACTGATGCTGTCTTACATACCAAATATTTCAACTTGATAGTTCAAATAATAACTGAATTATTAAGAATTGGGCGAATGATCTTTTAAATATATTTACACTTGGATCTACTGCATTTTATTCCTAACCTATAATATATGAATCCGTCGGTAAATAGCAACATGTGAAGCAAATTTAAAAAAATTATACAATTGCATGCAACACACGCAGGTCTATCCATGAATCAGATTGTTTTTACATTAAAATGAAATAGAGACTGCCATCAACCTACATACCAAATTGCAACTCAATAGCAAAAATAATAATTGAACATATTATGCATTAGTGTTTAAAATTTCGTGTTCTGGAACACGAAATTCTAAGCAAAAACACTGACTATCATGGAACCAACGTTCAGCCTCTCTGGTGAGGTTTAAGCAGTGTTGCATTGCAGTTGGTCCTAATTTTTCATATTAACACAAACTAGAGACTGTTTCCATCCTACATACCAAATTTCAACTCTATAGCTCAAACAGTTATTGAGTTATTAGGTATCCAGTGAAGGTAAATAGTTAAGCCCAAGTTGTACATTTATGATTTTTTTTTTAATTTTGGCATGCGAGTAAACTGTATTTTATGTCCTAAACATATGTACAAAATTGGATATGAATCGGTTGGTAAATAACCAAACGCCAGGCGACTTTTAAAAATTCACATGATCGTGTGCAGTGTGCAAGTTTATCAATCATTCTGAATTTTGTTTGCATTACCACAAACTAGAGACTACCCCCGTCCTACATACCAAGTTTCAACTTGATAGCTTAAATAATAACGGAAATATTTAACATCGGGCAAAGGTCAATAGTTAAGTCCAGCCCAAACACGTCCCAGAGGAATAAAAGTTATATCATTATATAGCCCATATATATAAACCTTCTTTATGGAATTTCGTAAAAATTTTCTTATTTTTGCTCTATCTCTTACCGTTTCCAAGATACAAGCGATTAAAGAATTTATTGGGAGAAACAAAATTAATTTTAAGTATAAGTTCTAAAATTTATGTTTTAAAAATATTCAAGTTTTAAAAATGATTCTAAACCTTAAAATGCGTCCTATATATCGAATTTCAACTTGATAGTTTAAATAATAATGAAGATATTAATTATTGGGTGGAGGTGAATAGTTAAGCCCAAAACCTTACACTTATAATTATTTTAAAAATCCCTACATGTGGATCAACTGTGTTTTATGTCCATAACGTATGTACAAAATTTCATATAAATTGGTTAGTAAATAAGCAAACGCCAGGCAACTTTTAAAAATTCACATGACCGTGTGCAGTGTGCAAGTTTATCAATCATTCTGAATTTTGTTTGCATTACCACAAACTAGAGACTACCCCCGTCCTACATACCAAGTTTCAACTTGATAGCTTAAATAATAACGGAAATATTTAACATCGGGCAAAGGTCAATAGTTAAGTCCAGCCCAAACACGTCCCAGAGGAATAAAAGTTATATCATTATATAGCCCATATATATAAACCTTCTTTATGGAATTTCTTAAAAATTTTCTTATTTTTGCTCTATCTCTTACCGTTTCCAAGATACAAGCGATTAAAGAATTTATTGGGAGAAACAAAATTAATTTTAAGTATAAATTTCAAAAAGTTAAGGTTTAAAAAATATTTAAGTTTCAAAATGATTCTAATTCTTAAATTGTGTTTTACTCACCAAGTTAGTGGAAGGAGATGCTCACTGAAGCTAGCACAAAACCACAACTTGATTGAACAGAGACATCAAGTAATATACCCAATCTATCATAATTTTGGCTGACGCAAATGAGTGATAATCACGAGCATGTTGTAAAGGACGCACGTGGTGTTAACAGTCCACTGTGCAACAAAATTTTCCACAGAAGTACAGAAGTTGGCAAATGCGCTAATGAGTGATTGGTAATCAAACATGGTGACCCGAGGGTCAGCGCGCCGCTGATAGCTAAAGATTGCTACAACATTCTGTTGCCCTGATACCCAAAACAGTAAAAACATCTGTTAACTTCGATATATCGGCATTTAGTTCGATTCGATATATCGATATTAATTTCGAAAATCGATTTATACAGTTCGATATTGTTGTAACTATATTCCTACTACATTCTGCCAGCCGGATAACTGTTTCAGAAATTGTCTGAATATTTTGTTTAGTAATTACTGTTTCAGAATTGTCTGAATATTTTGTTTAGTAATAACTGTTTCAGAATTTTCTAAATATTTTGTTTAATATTTTTGTTGGAAAATTACTTAATTTTTGTGGATTTTTGTTTCAAGCGTTTCTCACTTTTCCAACATATTTTTGCTTATTTTCTGTTTATTTAATAATTTTACTTCAGTGAACTTGTACTCTGCTCACATCAGCTTCTCTGATGCAACTTGTACTCTGCTCACATCAGCCTTTTGCTGATGTAATTTGCACTCTGATCACAAAAGCAATCATCTAGTGATGCACGAGTGTTAGTATAAATAGTGGCTAAAAAGATGGAACATTCAGCTTGAACACTCAATTGCTCCAGTTCATCATCTCTCACTACATCTCTAAGCTTCAAGCATGTAAGTTTATAAGACTTATTGTTAAATTAAAATACTTGAAATATTTTGACTTAAAATTCCAATGGTTGTTTAACCATTTTAAAACTTAAACTCAAAATAACAGATGGAAAATTAGTTAAAAACTTATATTTTTCAATAAATGTTTTATATTTATTGTGTAAGAATAACACAAATTTCTAAGCGTATGCTAGCTGTACAATATAAACACCATACTTGATATTAATATTATACTTGTTTGATTGCTTATTGAAGAATATTTGTTAAACTAACTTTGCAAGAGTGCAATATTGACTTGTTAGGTTAGCTAAGTGGTGTATTAAAGGTTTAGTGTAGGCTAGTTGTACAGTAAATTCTTTTAAATTATTAAATGAATATTTCTAAAATGCTAATAGATGTTTTTACTATGAAATAACATTTGTTTGATTATTTTTGTAACTTAGTAAACACAGAGTTTAAATATTAGATATTAAAAGAGTACAATATTGACTTGTTAGGTTAGCTAAGTTGTTTACTAAACGTTTTAGTGTAGGCTAGTTGTACAGTAAATTCTTTTAAATTATCAAATTAATATTTCTAAAATGCTAATTGATGATTTTCTATGGAATAACATTTGTTTCATTATTTTTGTAACTTAGTATACACAGAGTTTAAATCTGTGAAACATGATTAGCTTCTTTATTTTCTTAGTTAGTAATAAACTGATATTTTTAAATGTAAAGTAAATGGTGGTCTAATAATATTGGTTGATTCCAGTTTGCTGCTTAGCTCCAGCCCAGTACATATCCTACACCATCTTGTTGCTCAGCTCTAGCTCACTACGTCCATACGCTCTATACCGTAAAACTTTAAGTAAGTTTGTAATGATTAAGTAATTACTTTTACGTAAACTTCTATTCCATTATGTTTCTGTTTTTTATCACACACATTTTAACACTTATATTGTTTTAATATCAAATCTATAATGTCATTAAAATTATATGGGTATTGGATTTTAACACATATTTTTTTTATTTAACTCATATATTGTGTTATAAACTGTTACCCTGATAAAATACAATAGATACCAGCTTTTGTTTTACAATTGACTACCATGTAACATAACATGAGTATTAAAATATCTTAATAACAATAATTTTTGTATCTCACATCCCTGCGACATAAATATATATTTTATCATTGCTGAATTTAAAATTCAATACTTGAGCTTAATTTATTTCAGCTTAATAAAGGTTTGAGCCATCTAAGTTGGTTTGAATATAAACTAAACTAGTATATAGTATTGATTACAGCTTACTAATTTACTGTTATGGTTTCAGGAATCTGCGTGTGTAAATTTTGCTCAACCTCCGGCCTTACCCTTTAACCACCCATCTTCCAGACTTCTAGCTAAACCCTCAATTAATCAGGTATGTACATAGTTAAATTATTAAATACCCCCGCCGCAGCAAACCTGCAGACTAAGCGAATTTCCATTTGACTGATTGGATTTACACTGAAATGTCTATTTAAAAATATAACATTTATTCTTGATTTAAATAGAATTAGTTTAACAAGTACTTAAGTTTGCTGCATCAGGGAGGGTAAAACTGTTTTTTTTTTTGTAAAATGTGAATAGTTAGTAAGAAATAAAAACATTTTCCAAATTTGATCAAAATATGTTCACAAACAAGCAAACTACAACAGTTTACTTATTCTCCATAAGAATAACGTGGGAATTTTAAATTTACAAATTTTTGGAATTTTCTCCATAACCATTAGGCGCATAATAACGCTTCAATATACTAAATTATTTGTTTTTTTAAGCTCTACAAAATGGTTTGGAAAGAAATTGCTAAATTTTATGTTTTTTGGGTCAAAAATGGGAAAAACCTATTTTTACCCCATAAAACCCCCCGTTAACCCCCGTTCCCATGGTCCGATCATGCTGGATCGCGAACTCGTTTAAATAAACGTACTTTTACACGTTTGTACCAAATTTAATCAAAATCGGATCATTTTTGCTCGAGTTATCGTGCTGACGGACACATATATATATATATAAATATATAAATATATAAATATATATATATATATATATGAATTTGAACGGATGGTGTTTTTGGCCTCTAGGGACCTCAAAACGAAAAAAAAATCGGTCCCGCGTCCAGGTCTTACCATGAGTACTACGGTAATAGCTTATTCCCTATATGGGAAATTCGCTAAAATGCAGTTTAAAATGCTATAAACTATTTTCTTTTCCTAGAACTGTTATAAATTTAATAGTGGGTAGGTGGTGAGAATGTAAACTTCATTTAAGAAAATTTTTAACCCAAGGTTAAAAAAAAAATAAAAAAATTAACTATTTCGTGGAATGCTATTGTAAATAGAAATGAAAAATTTAGTATTATTATGTTTTTATATATTTGCTGTCATGAGCCCTTAGACACCATCTAAATAGCCAGTTTAAGAGAGTGTTGTAAAATCTACAGTGGACATGATAATTCTACTGCATATAGTATAAAACCTAATAATTCTTACTCTTGGATTAAACTCAGTAGAACAATTGTTTAATGTAATTCCAAAATTAAGAGACTCTAAGAGATTTTATTCTCATCCTGCACTTGGAAATCCCTAATTGCTGCTCACTCATATCTCGGCATTTGCATTCAACACTATTTTAGTTTTTCTCCAATGATCCATCACAAGATTTTTAATTTTCCTAATTATAATGGAAGAAGGTGAACATATAACAACATATTTTTAAAAACAAGGTTTATTTTTTAATACACTATTTACATAACTTTTTTGACAGTTTCTGACAATAGAGAGTAATACACTAATCCATTACTTATCATCAAACAACATGCAGCAGTATTCGTAGGAACTGTTTTTGTAGTTTCAATTTCAAGACGTACATCAATTGTGCCACTTTTTAAAGATTCAGATTGTTTAGAACAATCACATACAAATAATGGTTAACTCTTGATGAAATCTTTTTTGCTTACACATGGTTGATCATCACTTCCTGCATAGAAAGAAGATTGAAACTTTGCATAGTATTCATATAACAAAGCTTTGTTTCCATTCAATGGGTCATGTTATATATGCTGAGGTGGTTACTTCTTTTAATCAATGGTTTAATTTATACTGGTTTTAAATTGCCGGCTGTTAGCAAATGTTAATATTAATGTGTATTAGAATGCTTGATTATAATTAAACACATGTTAATTAATTTTTATGAGAGAATGTAAACAAGAGTTAGTAGAGTGCATTTTTATTATTTTTTTATCTTTACGTTCAGTTTGGAAACCTACAATAACATTCTAGGTTTCTCAATGACTGATAGTGTCTTAACAGCCCATGTTTGAGAAGTGGTTTGAGGAAGCACAGATTACTCATGCATTTGCCACCTCTTAGAGATGATTCTTAAAGGTTGATTTTTTCCCAATAGTTTTAGAAGTGATAGTTTAATTTAATCATCAATTTTTCACATAAGACATTTTCCAGATAAGTTTGGTTATTACAAATTTAACAGTTTGTAAAGATGCTGCTGCTTGCAATATGGCATTTTTGCCAGATCTTTTTTTTATCAAAAACCTTAACAATACTAGTTTAACAATACAGTATATTTATCTAAAAATGGTTTTTATGTTCATGCAAAAGCTATAGCTGATTCTTGCATTCATAATTTTTCACGAACAAATTTTTTGTTATTACAAACTTAGAACCTAGGAAATAATTTTTTAGTCCGATAAAATCTAGATTTAGCTAAATCACCTTTTTAAAATTTGACAAAAACACAACACAAGCTAACTCCACTTGAAGAACATGATGCTGATGAATATGAAGATTTCTCTATGCTCTTATGAAGTGTTGAAATGGGCTGGTATCTTCCCTGCTGTTTTGCTGTGAACGTCAAAGGTTGCCCCATTTCTACAAAAATAGCAGAACTTTCTTTTAATATTAGGTCCATCATTTACATCCCCCGTTACAGCATAATGTTCTTGACAACGCAAATTCTCAATGATGTCAGGATCCGTCTGCACATGTAATGGAAGCTTTTGATAAATAAGTTCTATATGCGGTATTTGGTTGATTATAAACTCTTTGGGTAAATACTTAATTAATTCATCTTGCATCTGGTAACCTCGTTGACTCCATTCTTTAATAGCTTCATCAGTATTCATAACATGGCTAGAAACCAACTTGTTTTCAATATTTAACCATTGTAATAATATATAAACGTTGATGTATGCGCAATTGGTTGAAGGATGGTTAAAACTGCAAGGCTTATACGAACTTAAATGAGTTTGTTGTTTCAACACAGATAGACTTGGACATCCCAAATCTTCTAGATTTGCCACTGTAACATTAAACTCTGATAGAAGTTGCGCTATGAATGATTGTTTTTCTGCACCTTTTACATATACAGTTCCTTTTATATCAACATATCTGAAAATATCCTTTATTTTTGAATATTCTTTGAACCCAGAACTCCAATTTAAACCATGAAGATGTTTTTCAACCCAATGAATATGTTTTCTTGTTTCTTTTGACAAACTATGTATACTACAAGGGGGTAAAAAAAGTTGGAACTCATAAATTTGTCCATCTGTAGATATAATAGCCAACTCCTTAATAACAAATTTGTTCTCCTCATTTCTGAATCCCTGGAAGTCTAGTATAAACTCCATTTACCTGCAAATAATACAAAAACTGTCACTTAATTATCATTATCATTTAATATTGGTAATTGAATCTTTTATAAAATTTGTTGTCTATATATGTTATGCTCTTTTTGAATTCTGTTCACTTATCCACATTCAAATAAAAACACCATCTACTTAAATTGGAGTCTGAAATTCAAACAATCATCGTGTTTTTTACACATTTTCAAATTCAACTTTCATATCATGAGTAATAATAAAACTTTTAAATAAATCCATTCTAAAATTTACCTGAGCACTCAAACAGCAGTGTATTTATTTGTGTGTACAGTATATTTATCTAAAACTCGTTTTTATGTTTATACAAAAGCTATAGCTGATTCTTGCATTCATAATGTTTCACAAAACAATTTTTTTGTTTATTACAAACATGTTGGGAACCTAGGATATAATTCTTAACAAAAAGTAGATATAGTTTATACCAACACAATTAAACAGTTTTATAAAATACATACATATTATTTCATATATTCATTTGATTTAGGCTATCATTATTGAACAAAAACTTATAATTTATGGGGTAAGAACAATTTTAAAACCCTCAAAATAATCAGTTACAATAAAAATTTAACAAAACCCTATATTTCCATAAAATCATTTAAATTTACAATTGTAATAAATTTATCCAACAAATAATTTGTTTATATTTATTCAAAAATAATAATTCCTGAATTGATAAAAAAAATAAAAAATATTTTATAAAAATAAATTTTATAAAAATCAAATTAACTGCATATAATATAAAATAAACTGTATTAACTATTTCATTTATATAGCAGGGTATTTATTTTATTTCTGTAATTAAAAGAGCTTTTTGATGGTATTTTTAATTTACAGTATTTAATTGGATATTTTATAAACTTATTTTTATTTTTTAGAAAAATGAATAATAACTCATCCGCAGACTATAAAGAAAGGGCATGAGCAATTTTTTAAATATTTATAAAAAATGTCACTGTAAGTACATATTATAAATTGTATTTGGAAGATAAAATCTTTATAAACTTACGGTCTTTAAAAGTTCTAATGTCATTGAAACATTACACTCCTACAGCAGTTTTAAGCTTGAAAATAAGCAAAAGGTTGATTATATGATGAGGAAATCATTGAGTACATGTACTTGACTCCTAAACAACCTGTTAATTACATCAAGAGACCCAGAAGCTGAGTATAAACAAATAAACAAAAGTTTACAGCCTGATACCCCTAAGATTTACCAATTAATAAAAATAAGGAAACCCATAAAAAGGTGATTTTGTAATTAAGCTTTCTTTTAAACAAGTTTAAATATAAGTTATTTAATTATACTAATTCATTAGAGTGTTTCATTAATATTTTAACAACTAACAATTATTTATAATCTTTTCTAGCTACCAACCACGAAACACCAGCCTTACGAAGATCCAAAAGGATAAAAAATAAAATCATTAAAAAATAACTTAGAAATTGAGTTTAATTACTCCACAATTCTGTATAGCCTCTAACCAACCATTTATAACAAGAATGATCCATTAATAATATACAAAGGTTTTGCATTTGAGTTTTGTGTATGTATCAAATATTCCTCTATTAGGATTACATTAAAATAGGAATACATTCGCTATCAAATTTAATTACAATAACATCAGATTTCATAAATCAAATTTTCCAAATTAATATGAATATATTGAAGTTAATATCAGTTTATCAAAGTTAATGGACATTTTATTGTTTTTATTATCAGGGCAGCAGAATATTGTAACAATCTTAGGTTGTCAAGGATTTTCTGACCTTTTGGAGACTTTGTTTACCCAAATTTGGTTTTATCGTCAATTTACTCTGTTGCATCAATTTTAAATATAATTTAATTTATTTGCAAACGTTTGTGAAAAATTTGATTGCATAATGAACTGTTAATCCAAGTACCATGTGCATCCTTGGTGCCATGCTCATGATAATAACTTATTTGCGTATTTAAAAACAGATTTAAATATTGAAATGTTACTCTATAGCTAGCCTCCGCTGTATCATGTTGTCCTTATACGAGCTTTCTATTAGAAAGATTTGCATAAATGTCTTCCTTTTACCTTATGTAAAAGAAATTACAAACTTTCCATCATCACTAAGGCAGGACATTTTAAATTATCATCGAGAAAATTGTGGCTACATAACTCTAAACTACTATGAGACTTTTGGAGACTGTAATAGGTTGTGTTTAGACTGTGGAAAAATGGCCAATCTTCCTTCTTACTTAAAGCATAATGGTAACCACATGTATCCAAAATTTAAAGTTCCAATAGAAACATGTCAAATTTGTTCAGTTCCTTTATTTATTTTTCATAAATCTGACTGTAAATATTGCAAAAATTAAATATTTTCCAAAAAATATCTTGAAATTCACTTTCCCTATTTGCTAAAAGGGGGGAGAACATTATATTGCAACAACCAGTTTTGCTGGACTGGCTATAATGTTTAACCTGGGTGTAATATTCACAAGCAGTTTCAAACCCCGCTTAAGCAAACAATATCCGGTTTCAGCCTAAAATCTTAACAAACCACTTTATCATGATTTAGACTATTGTTAGTGGGTATGGTATTTCATCTGTTAAATCTTTAGCTGATAAACATTATTTTTTACTTAACACATTTGCTACAGATTGCTACATATGTATAACACTTTGGGTGTTGCTAGGGGTAGAAGTACTAATAGTATAGTTTGTAATCAAGCCAACTAAGGTGATTCAAACCTTCATTACGCTAAACAAATTAAGCTTTAATATTGAAGTTTTGAGAGCGGAAATAATAAAATACATATACATGTTGCAAGGATGATTAGATATAAATTATTGTTATTAAGGTATTTTGATTTCTCTAGTTATGTTATTGGTTACATTGGTTCCATGATAGCCAATTGTAAAACAAATGTTGGTGACTGTAGTATATTTTTAGGACGACAATTTGTATCCCAATATATAAGTTAAATCACAAAATTTTAAATGTGCAAAAATCCAATGTATATACGATTTCAATTAAAATATAGGTTTAATATTAACAAATGCAAGTGTTAAAATGTGTGTAATGAAAGACAAAAAACATGATGTAATTATTAACAAACAAAAATTGAGTTTATATAAAAATAATTACTCAAACATTAAAAACTTATTTAAAGTTTTAAACATGTAAGGCGTATGGGTCTATTGAGCTAGAGCTGAGCAACAAGGTAGTGTGGGATATATATGTGTAATGGGCTGGAGCTATGCAGCAAGATGTTCAAACTGGTATCATCCAATATCATTAGACCACCATTTTTACATTTTATAATGTTAGTTTATTACTAACAAAATGAATAAGCTAATCATGTTCCACATATTAAACATTTAATATTTAAACTCCATGTTGGCTAAAATAATGAAACAACTGTAATTACATAGTAGAAACATCTATTGACATTTAAGAAATATTCATTTAATCATTTACAAGGGTTTACTGTACAACTAGCCTGCACTAAAAACGTTTAGTAAACAACTTAGCTAACCTAACAAGTCAATATTATGCTCTTCCAAAGTTGGTTTAAGAATTATTCTTCAATAATCAATCAAACAATCAACATGGTGTTAATATTGTACAGCTAGCATACGCTTAGAAATTGTGTTATTCTTACACAATAAATACAAAATAAAAAAAAAACACATAATTGAAAAAGTAGTTTTTAACTAACTATTCATATGTTATTTTGAATTTAAGTTTTAAGTTTTTGAATTTAAAATGACTAAACAATCATTGCAGTTTTTAAGTTAAAAATATTTTTAAGTATTTTAATTTAACAAGAAGTCCTTTAAACTTACATGTCTTGGAGCTTGAAGGCATGAGCTAATCTGGAACTGAGTGTTCAAGCTGAATGAACTAAACCATCATTTTTTCCAATATTTATACTAACACTAGTGCATCACTAGATGATTGCTTTTGTGGTCAGAGTGCAAATTACATCAGAGACAGTTGATGTGGTCAGAGTACAAGTTGCATCAGAAAAGCTGATGTGAGCAGAGTACAAGTTCACTGAAGTAAGATGATTAAATAAACAGAAAATAAGCATGTTGCATGCAATTGTTTGAATATTTTAAATCCATTCAATTTAATATTTTTGTTTGAAAATTACTTGATTTGTTTGGCTTTTGTTTCAAACTTTTCTCACTTTTCCAACATATTTTTGCTTATTTTCTGTTTATTTAATCATTTTACTTCAGTAAACTTGTACTCTGCTCACGTCAGCTTTTCTGGTGCAACTTGTACTCTGCTCACATCAGCCTTTTGCTGATATAATTTGCACTCTGATCACAAAAGCAATCATCTAGTGATGCACGATAGTATAAATAGTGGCTAAAAAGATGGAACATTCAGCTTGAACACTCAATTCCTCCAGTTCATCATCTCTCACTACATCTCTAAGCTTCAAGCCATGTAAGTTTATAAGACTTATTGTTAAATTAAAATACTTTAAAATATTATGACTTAAAACCACAATGGTTGTTTAACCATTTTAAAACTTAAACTCAAAATAACAGATGGAAAGTTAGTTAAAAACTTATATTTCTCAATTAAATGTTTTTTATATTTATTGTGTAAGAATAACACAAATTTCTAGCGTATGCTAGCTGTACAATATAAACACCATACTTAATATTAATATTATACTTGTTTGATTGCTTATTGAAGAATATTTGTTAAACTAACTTTGCAAGAGGACAATATTGGCTTGTTAGGTTAGATAAGTGGTTTATTAAAGGTTTAGTGTAGGCTAGTTGTACAGTAAATTCTTTTAAATTATTAAATGAATATTTCCAAAATGCTAATAGATGTTTTTACTATGGAATAACATTTGTTTCATTTTTTTTTGTAGCTTAGTAAACACAGAGTTTAAATATTAGATATTAAAAGTTCTTATAAGTTCTTTAATTATACTAATTCGAGTGTTTGAAACACTTTCCTTTTTTTACACTACCACATCTAAAAGCAGTAACATAAAGGTCAGCTACCACGTTAACATTAACGTATGCTTGCATTAACGCACGAAACACGGCTAGCACATAAATTCAAATGTTAAAATTTCTAACACAAGAAAATTCAGAGAGTAGAGCTAGTATTGCACAATGGACAATTCAATGTCAGTCAACCAGCTACTGCATCATCTTACCTACATAAAAATATTGTGATATTAAGGGCATTAATAAATTGCTATATTGGAAAGAAAATTATATTTTAAATTCATGTTTTTATTATGAACATAATAGCTTCGACTATTATTACAACTAGACCTTCCATTCCCATATTAAACTTGTAGCCAAATGTAGCCTATTTTGTCAGCACAATAATTAATCGTGTTCTTTAAGAAGGCCTCCTACATGACAAAATATAAGCATCAGTTGGAATTTAAACAACAATATATAACTTGGTTATTACTGATAAATACAACCATAGACTAACCACCAAAAGTGTGCTTCTTGACCTTATAAATTTTGAAGGTCTTTTTTCGTGTCTAGTTCATGTTGGTGACACTTATCACTAGTGTCGAGGAAATTTTGTTCCTATTACTTTAGGGTTCATTTTATGATTTTTGCTTTACTGTTCGGTTATATAACTATAGGACGAATTATTGTTTAGGATTACTTCGTATTATTTCGTTAATTGAGTTTTTAAATAGCTGAAGTAACAAGAAACAAATTGTTACAAAACACGACCTCTACAGTACACCGGACAGAACTAACAGCAAAATTGTCCTCAGTTGATCCATTTAAGGATGAGTAATCTAGGGAGTATGTTTAGCCTATCTAGTTATTGATGGTTTATATAGGATAGAACCATTAGAACCTAATATTCTTGCGTTACACGAGTTTTAGCCTATGTGGGTATGCGTTTGTGAGTAAATGTTCAGCTTGTAGACAGTGCTTATTAATTGTGAATGTATGTGTAATTTTTGTGAATATTCCATGTGTTATGCCTCATGTTATGTGTATTGTTTATAGTTAAATATTATTGATTGTTGTTAAGTAGGCCTCCTGATTAATGCATTCTTCATCTTGTTAGTATTATTTTTCAAATCCCTAAAATCTTTTTGTGATAATTATTACCACACAAATAATGTTGACACAATTTATTAACTTTGGCATGAATAATAGTGCACTTTAATTTGAACTCTGCTATAACGGTTATTGGCACTTATTCAGTATGTGTATTGTATTGTTGTAGTATCCTACAAATAATGTAATTTGTTATTTTTAAAAATAAAGTTGATTTTAATAATAAATAATAGACCAAGTAAATACCCTAATATTTTATAAATACATAGCTGAATTTCTTCATTTTTATAAATGTCAAAATAGTGAGAAAAAACTCGTTTACAAGAGCCTAATAAAAAATAAACCTCCGGTAGAGGGCCCCTTCACAGTATGTAGCTGAGGGCCC